CCTCTTCACGTGGAGTAGCAGTGGCTCTATCCGATGCTCCTCCCGTGTGACTGAGCTCTCACCTATCTCTATGGGAGCGCCCAGCAACTCTGCGGAGGAAGCTAATTTCGACCGCTTGTATCAGCGATCTCGTTCTTTCGGTCATTACCATAAGCTGAGGGAGGGAAACGACGATTGACGGTAAAATCGAGAGGTTTGCATTTCGGCTCAGTCTCTCTTCACCACATCGGTCCGTTACAGAGAACCGCATCATGCGCTCGCTGCACCGATACGCCTGTCAATCTCACGATCTTCCTCATCGTGAACAAGACCCGAAATACTTGAACTCCTCCACTGAAGAAGGACCTCTCCACCCACCAGGGAGGGCAAGGCACCTTTTTCCGGTCGAGCACCATGGCCTCAGATTTGGAGGGTGCTGATTCCCAGCCCAGGCCGTGCAGCTGTTGCAGAGAGTGAGATTGCCTTCTGCTGAGATAACCTTATCTATTGATAGGAAGTTGTTTTAAGGACATTGTCTTAGATGCGAGGCAAATAACAATTCGTAAAACCGACCCCACTGTTTCGGGAAGGTTTGTATTTTCTCTCATAAATGGCATATCTCACCCTCCTCTCAATCCAGTTTTGGTCTCGCACCAGATTTTAACCTCGGATGTCGTTCACGGGGTGGTTGGTGGCTTGAGGTGGAGATGTACAGCCCGGATGTTGGCCCGCTTGCATTTTCTTACGATGTTGGTCACGTTAGTTTCTGTAGAGTTTGGTTTAGATTTCTCCAATATATGGTCAGTTCACTCCTACTTCTCTACATTTAATTGAATACACCACATTGCTCTGTTGTGATTGGCTGTTCTGTCTTTGGGATGCACTATTTCTGTCTACTTTGTAGCAGACCTTAGTGTGATAACGCGTTAGCCATGATGTGGTCAACCACACCCACAAGTTAAAATCTTAAATCGTAAAATTTGAAATAGTGCTCTGGATTAAGAACAAAGTCAGGAAAAACTGGCTAAACTGAAGTACAGATGATGGATGAGCAAGCTTCTGTATTTTTCAACTATATGTTAACTTTAGCACGTGCACTGCTGACAGACGTACGTGTGAGAAAGTGAGGTTGTTGTTCTTGTGGTTGCAGGCCTTTTATAAAGTGACGGTGGAATCCCACAGAGCTCACGCTGAAGATTCTCCCTAGAAAACATGGCGGACCATTTTGGATCAGCATCACGAGGAAGGAAGTGCGACTGACGGGCATCAAGCCCCTGCTACGTGTGGAATCTGCAGGTCTCGTTTGGATTCAGTTTACATGCTTTAGTCTGCTTTAATCCTGTTTAAGACTTGGTTTAGACCCGTTAGACCCACAATGTGACTGCTTTAGATCAGGTTTTCAATGTTTTTGTTTCAGTGCTTTGCGTCCACTCGCTCCGTTCTTAATCTCACAGTTCTTCAGGATCCTGAAGTTCTCCCACAATACCCTCTGCTCTCCCTGCACCTATTCCATCTGGACCAAGACAGTACCAGGACCAGACCAGGTTTGGACCAGGAGCTTATCAGAGCTTACAGATGGACACAGAAGAAGACCTAGCAGCTCCATGATTACACCAGTTCTTCCTCCTTCACTTGTACTTGCAGAGGAAGAGGTTCTTCCAGGTCTTGAGCTCTTCGTGGGAAGCAGACCTCTGAGACTTGTGTACAAATAGTTTTTCCTTATTTTGGAGATGATCCTTCTGGATGGGTTTGCTTGTTCTGAGGTGTCAGTCCACACATCTGAGAGTGAGGCCCTTCTCAAAGCAGACTGTCTGACTGCTGGACCCACTTGGACATGACCAGGACGTGAACAAGGATGTGGACCAGGGACGTGGCCAGGACGGTGGAACCAGGAAGTGGACCAGGACGTGGACAGGAACGTGGCCAGTACGTGGACTCAGGACGTGGACCAGGACGGGACCAGGACGTGGGGTTATTCATCAACAGGACCCGGACCAGACCTGTCCTATTCGCTTGTACAGGCGTTTGCTCCTGTGCTCTGGGTCAAACGCTGGGTCCTGCTGTTCTCAAGCCACGCCTGAATCAGAAAGCTCCGCCTCTTCGCCCAGTGGCCACGCCTTTAACAGAAGGAGATTTATCACCACGGCATACACACTGGTGAACCTTCGCCGAGTCCAGACTTGCACAGAGAGCTGGAGATCAGCGTGAAAGGTACAGTTACAAATTCTGCTAACTTACTCATAATACTAGTACTACTACCGCTGCTGCTAATACTTATGTAGTAATTGCAGCAGTGGTATTTGCTTCTTGTGGTAGGTGGTAGAAGCTCCGGCAGTAGTATTACTATGTTGCTACTAAAAATCATATAATAATCATATAAAAATACTACTACACTCTGGTTGCAGATGTTCGCGTGTTCTGTTTGGGGGCGATGTCTGTGGTTCTTCCTTAGTGGACATTAAGAGAGATGAGGTTTATCATGGAGTCAGAAGTGTTGTTCCCCCCCCTGATGGTGTGGGGTGCCTCTGCACCACTTCTCACAGATCAGGTAGGTATGGTGGAATTTTCCAAAAACTGCATACAAATCAAAACAACAGGGATATGTAGAGAAGGACTTTATGACAACTTACTTCTCTGAGCTCAATGCTACACTAGTAAACACTTCACCGATTCCAGTCTTGTGTTTTTAGACTGTGGTGTAAATCGGGGAGCTTCAGTTGCCGTTCTCATCACATGGGGGCGCGGTGCTGTGCCCATGCAATGCTGAGTGTTCTGAAGGCCTGGGACAGTCCTGAGGACGGCTGTCTGCAGGGTTCTATGCTCTGGTCAGAAACACAGCACTGTTGCTGCTACTGTACTACTTTTCCATACTAACTTGGCTTCTTTGGCTGACCTCCTCGTCCTTCCTCTTCCTAGGTCTCCAGGACATCCCAGAATGTCTGTTCTCAGTTCCAGTCGGATTCTTCATGGATCTGGTATTTTCTGTCAGACGTTGATGAGTTCCGTGAAAAGGTCTTGCAGATTCAGGAGACACATACCCATAGGACTGAGGCTTGGTCAAAGGGTCTGACCCCTCCAGTTCTGTGGCCCAGCACATTGATTGAAAAACATAAGTAGTATTTAATTTTAGCTATAAAGCGACATTTTACAGACCACGGTCACAAAAACGCTTTAAATGTTCAGAGTTGAGAACTAAGCCACAGTTTTACGCTGTACAAACTTCTTGTCCTCAGTCTGTGCTCTCTTTCACGAGTCACAACAGACATACTTCTTTATGGCCTCACCAGGAAACAGAAGAACAGTTAAAGGTCAGTTTGTCTTTTATTATTTCTCCACACATTAATGTTTGATGCCAAAGTTATTTTTTGTTATAAGAGCAAAATGAACGCTTCATGGAAAAGGAGAAATTAGAAAATAGATCCTTTGAAGGCCACAGAACACCACGTTTGTACAGTTTAGACTTTGTGCGAAACAGAGATAAAAACACATGCACAGTATATACAACTTATCTCCACTATACATCTACAAGTGTGGGCAGAGGAACCACAGCACACCGCGCACACACACACTCACACACTCACACTCAGAACCGAGGAGGGAGACAGAGGGACACTGTGCAAAAGAGATATAAGGTTAAAGTGCGTAAACTGGTTACACACATGGGCCAGAAATTACACACACACGCTTTCGGTTTTCAAATCAAAATGGGCCAGTGCAGCTTACCATAGTAAACATGTTTGACGACGCAAGCAGTTGGCATTCATTTGTTTGTCTACGGACCAATTTTGTGTATTTCACTGATGATAAGTCACACTTTGTCTTGAGTATTTCAATAAGAGCTGGTTCCACTGATGGCCTGGTCGGAATCAGGTTCAGTTGTCTATTTGAGTGGAAAACCAAAGCAGTATCCTAGTTACGGAAAAAACAACAGGGTTCATGACAAAACCTTTCAGTTAGTCAGGCACTTCTCTAGCCTTTTCGTAACTTCGCGAAACAACCTCAGGTGCGAAGTCCATCCTTCTGAAATGAGACCAAGCACAGCTCTCCTCCCCGAGTCGGGATGGTGGAAACGTGCTAAAGTGTTTGTTTGGGCCTAACGGAATTACTGATTTTAAAATGATTCATGTTGTTGTCTTTCAAGATACAAATACATACATAATAATTGGTGTTTCAAAACTCTTCTCAGATTGTGGGTCACATGGACTTTAAGTACAATTATATAAGCAGAGGGTAATGCCTCAAATCCACCCATAGAGGGAAGTGTTGGTCATAAGTTTTCCACTGCATGAAAACTGTTGTTAGCATATTCAACAATCTGGCTTTGAAAACAACATTTTCAATCTCTCTTGTGCTCAGGAAAAGGCCAACGGTAAACATACTCATGACAAGGCAACGGTCCCAACTCTCGGAGTCTACAATCCGAGTAAAGGCCAACGGGTCCAACATCTGAGGTCTACTATCCCAACTTTACAGTCAGTCAAAGGGAATCAAACGGAACATTTTCAACCATTCATCAAAGACCTAAATAAATAGTTTTTATGTTTGAGAAAAGTTGTATCTGTAAGTAATAATAGATGTGTTAGTTGAGTGATTTCATGACATCAATTAATGTACCTTCAATATTCATACAAGTAGAGAATGAGTTTAAATGATCTGAAACTGTAAAAAAAGCAGATTCTGTGTTGAGAGGTTCATCAACACAGCGGCCAGGTCCAAGTCAGGTTTAAGTTGGGGGACGTATACTTTAGCCTCATAAATTTGGTGATATGCATGCGGTTTGTAGGGTCACTATTTGACTCTTTGGGACTGAGAGAGGATGTCTTTGCTGAAGTTTGAATGTTACGTACCAGCTTCAATGTTACATCCTCCAGCTTTAGAGGCACAGGGTACATGATCCAGGACCAGCTGAGCTCAGGGCACAGAGAGCGTGTGAAGAGGCCTGGGACAAAAGAAGGCTTCGTGATGTTGGAGAGCGCGTATAGCTCCTCGCGGCCAGGTCCAGTTCACTTTGGTCCAGGAGCTCAAAGTCCACCTCTCTTCTCTTGGACTGTCGTGGGTGACCTCTCTTCCTCTCCCCAGGACAGTCGTGGTGACCGCTCCTCTCTATCCTCTTGGCCAGTCGTGGTTGACCGCCTCCTCCTCCTCCTCTTGGGAACAGTCGTGTTGGACCGCCTCCTCCTCCTCTCTTGGGACAGTCGTGGTGACTCCTCCTTCTCTTGGGACTGTCGAAGTGAACCTTCATCATCTGCACTGGGACTGTCAGGATGCACTAGTGACTCCTCTCTCCTTCCTGGCTTGCCATGACCTCCCTCCACAGAGTTTGAACAGTCCATAGGTGGTGGCAGAAAACTGGTCCTCCTCCTGTCTCTCTTGGCTCCCGAGCGCAGCAGAGCGAAGATTGTTGGGGGACCACCAGTGGAGTGGCTGTTGTCCACAATCTGCTCCTGAGGGCCTCCAGACAGCGCTGGGCCTGGTCTCACGCTGGGGTCTGGTTGGGGTCTGGTCAGGTCTGTCAGAGGTTTTGGACTGTGTGGTGAAACGCTGTTATTGAGATTGTAGAGATTAAACACTTTCTCTGAGCTCTAAACTCCCACCGGTATGTGTGTGTTGGAGCATGCCATTGAAGTGAGTGTTGACATGTGCAGGGGTGAAAGGCAGGTGCTGCAGCCGGCGGGAGCTAGGGCTATGTGGCTCTTCTGCCCTCTGGATACAGGAGGCTCTGAGGCTCAAAACTCCGCCCATGAGGGGAACTCTGGCAGGTCTCTGAGGATGGCCTCTCTGGGTCTGAGTGCGCTTGCTGGTCCAGGTTACACAGGGAGTACATGGCAAAAGACAGGGTACTGAAACTTGTTCTGAATCTGTCAAGGAACAGCAAAAGAATGACCCTCAGAGTCGTCTGTGAGCTGCGGGTGTTGTGGCTCTGGAACAGAGAAACCTCCACTCTCCAAGGATGTGACGCCTCTTCATCAGACAGCTCAGAGTCCGTGGATCGCCATGGCGAGGTGCCGTCGTCTTCAGTCCACCTGGGACACACACATACACAGGGGTCACACATGTTACACTTGACAAAGGTGACGAAACTTTAAACACAGTACACAAAAGCGACGGAGACACAACAGGTGGCCACTTTAAACAGGGGTGCGCAAACCTTTTGCTTCCAAGGCAAAATAAAAATTTGCCAGTCGGCCGCGGGCTTATTCCCCAATATTTTGCATGAAACACAAATAAATGTGATTTGATCAAGTTCTTTTAAAGCAATTAATTATTGCTATCAGTGCAAATTCACAGTGAATGAATGAATTCACACAGTCTTAGTGAAGTGGAGTGCTCCAGGGAAATATGAGGTTTGAGGAGGACTCAGTACGGAAAGATTACGGCCGGGTAATCAGGGTCCAGAGGAGGGAGATTTTCTGTCATTGCTTATTTAAAGGTTAAAAATCTATAAAAAAACCTCAAAAAGAATTTAATTATGTTGGTGCATTTGTATGGATATGACCATGCAGACTTTTGCCAGCAGAGGGCAATGAAGATAACTCATTTTCAGTATTAAAACCCCTAAAAGTGAAGTCATTATCTTCTTTAAGGCTGCACTTTTATGCCAAAATATGCATCGTGTTCTTAGTGTGCAAAGTTTTTTCCCTCTATGTTTTCATCTATCTATGTTTATGATTTATATTCCCTAAAAAACATGACAAATGATGAGTGTGTGTGTGTGTAAGTGTAATTGAAAGCAAGCCGTTTTACATATAAATGAGAAAAACAGGAGAATATAGACACAATGAAGCAGCGTCACGTCCGTCCTATGTTGTATGTACTCACTCATTGGAACTTTTCTGGTTGATGACCTGCCACTTCTGATTCAGTCTCTGCAGAACAGACAGCGTGTGTTATTATTGTCATGAAGACTTGTAAGAGGAGTTTGACTGTGAGAGAGTCCTGACCTCCAGCATGTAGGTAAACAGCGGCCCCAGCAGAGGGCACAGCAGGCTCTCGTAGTGCTCCGGCGGACACGACTGCACCAGCTTTGTCATGAAGACACGTTGACCAGAGTTAAAGAGAAATGAACCAGATTTCACACAGAGCAGGGTGTAAGGTCCAGTGGGATTCATCCATTAGAAGTTTAGATCCAGGAAGGTCAATGAACAGTTGTTAACATTTGACCAAAACAAAGCTCATGGGATGCCCCTGGAGAACGTTGTCATAGAGATTAATTTATTAAATTTGGCTTTGAATTAAAAATACTTTGTAAACATTGAACAAATACCTTGTTCATTCTCTTAGTTTCATTCTGCAGTCATTCGAGAATTTAAAAGGACATAATGTAATGTTCACTCTCATTGGGTTTTTACAATCCAACTTTCGTTACCAGAATCTTCTTGCTCCTAAGCACTAATTACTGATGAAAACCTCCTGCTTAAAGAAATGTATTTATATATACATAACATTCATAATTAGATAAAAGTTAAGAGCCAAAACCAGTAACAAAAAAACTGGCAACCCAAATTAGAGCCTCATCTGCTTAATCTGGGGACTCATAAAAGAGGAACCGTAGAATTACAAAGTGTCCCTTCAGGTCTATAAAAGGTTTAAAAAGTTATTCATCAATCACTAAATTATAACTATTTCACAAATTGATTAGTTTGCGATTATTTGATGAACAGTTTCAGTGAAGGATATGGATGATGGGCCGCAGTCGGTGGTCCGGCACGTGGTCCAGAGATCCGAACACAGAAGTTTTGATCTCCTGGCACAGTCCCTCCACAGAGTAAAACTCCTGTGTCATCGTCTGCGCCGCATTGGCCAAAGCGTGAAAACTGAGCAGAGACAAGGCACACAACAATGGATTTTTAGTCATCATTTTGACTTTATGGACATTGACATTAAAGCTGGAGCTGACTTTAATATTTCATAGATAACACGTGTCGCTTGTCCGAAAAGAAAGACTTCTAACAGTGAAATATTGAGAACAAATCCGACCACAACATGGGTTCTTCAGAATTTTTTTTAATTTTTGCAAAATAGAAAACCAGTACAAGAACCAAACTGTTCTGAGAGTGAGGAACAAATTCAGTGGATTTTTATTATGTAGTTAAATTTTAAAGTTTGAAAGTTGGGTACACCGGCTTTAAAGAGATATTATAAACTATTAAACAATCTGTCGGCCCCGTTCATGTCGGTGAAGAATTTGTGAGGATAGGTAAAGAAGTAAATCATTTTTATAAACCTATATTAAATCTAATGCTCAATCCCATAGATTTCAGGTCGAGTTTTTATTTCTGCTTCTTGGTTTTGAAGTGATCCATGATGAGGATCGTTGCCATAGTGATAAGCAACGTGAAAACAATATTATATTGTCTTATATAAAAAAAGACCTAAAAATGTCATATTGTAATACTGTTGATTAGAGGTGCAACGGTTCATCACTGATCCGTGATCCGTTCGGTTCAACGTCTTCGGTTCGGTACAGACGTGATCCGCGGTTTGATTTATGAAAAAAAAGTTGTGCGCACGTTATTCAGTCCACACACAGCGCGGTCATTGCGAGCGGAGGAACGGAGATGCTTGAAAGCCCCGCGTCATTTAAATCCCCAGTATGAGAGCATTTTGGCTTCACTGTAACTACACTGATAATTAATATTCGACAAAACTGTCACGATGTGTAAGCACTGTGGCACAAGAAAGACATGAGTGAAAAAAGCGTCTCAACGACCACCTATTGTCGCGGCATTTAAGCAGCTCCTTTACGCACAGTCAGACCGGGCTAAAGTCAACTCTCCCGCGCATCCTCAGCTGCGCTCACGACTGACGCTTGGACGTCCCGCGCGGAACCTATAATAGATCCATGAGCGGAACCGCTCACTTCATCACCGCAGACTGGGAGATGAAAAGTCTGGCGCTGCAGACACGCCCCCTCTACGACAGTCACACAGCGCAGGTACTGACACAAGCAGCGGAGGAATGGAAGACAAAGGCCCAGTACTAATATCCCAGTCACAACTGATAATGCCAAAAATTAAATAAATGCAGTGAATGAGGCTGGGCCCAGAATGGAGCGCCTCCTCGAATCAGGAAGGTGGTGTAATATATGAGAGTAAATATCCTCATAAAGTGCCTTCTTATGTTGCACTTTGTGTTGTTTTTCATTAATTATGTTAAATAGACATAATTGGATGGATGGAATATTCCATCCATCCATCCATCCATTTCCTTCCCCTTAATTCATTTCTAGGTCAGGGGGGGCAGTCAGAGCAGGTGCCGAGTCCACATGAGCTGTGTTTATTAAAAAGACAAAACTTTTTTTTTGAAAAATGAACCGAAAAATGAACCGAGCATAGTGAACCCAGCCCCTCACTGATCCTCCTGCAGGTGGTGAGTCCACAGGAGGATGGCTGCTCTGTCAGTGACGATACAGCCTTGATTTTTCAGCTGGAGCTTCAGGCAATGTGGGGTTAAGTGTCTTGCCCAAGGACACAACAACAGCAGAGATCATTGTGAGTCGGTGGAGAAAGTTCCGTGGTGAGCTCAAACCCACAACCTTCTGGCCCAAAGGCCAATGCTCTACCAACTGAGCTATTGTCGCCCTATAATAATGGTATTTAGTTGCATGACCGAAGAAACTTCATGTTTTAACTTGTACTACCAAGCACTGGGCTGTGGGACTGTTGGAATACATTAAATAATCATTTGAAAGTATTCAAAGTATTAATATCTCTTTCAGATATTGTGAAAGTGTAGTTTCTCACCAGTTGTCGTACACAGAGGAAAAGAACCCTTGCATTCGGTCCAGGTTGGTTTTTAGCACCGGAGAGTCATAAATGTCAAACACTGGCTGCACAATCCCTAAAAACAGAGACAAACAAATGTAAAAATAACATCATGAGTTTGTAGTGAGGTGACAGGAGGCTCTTTCTGACCGAGGATGACCTTCTTCTCCTTCTCCATCAGCTCGAACGCCTCCGAGTACGTCTCACTCAGACGGGCCTTGTATTCTGGGGAGAACAGCACGTTTTGTGTTCTGCAAATACAACAAGAACAAGGATTCAAGAAGCAACTCATCATGGGACGACAAACACAGCAATTATTTTAGTCCATTGCAAAAGAAAAAAAGGCAGCAACAAATGAAAACATCTGACTTGATTTCAATATATTTTGACTTGAATGAGGGTTTACCAATTAGTAGTGCAGTAGTAATTTTTTAACACAACATTTTGTGCTTATTCCATTGAAAAATCTGCTGTAAGAGGGGGGTTAAAAAAAAGTATTTATCAAACAATATTTTGTGGTGACGCCAATTAAGATAATTATTATTATTTCTCACACGCACTGTCCTCATAATGAAACATTCAGAAGTGAGGTGCTGGATGAGGACTTTTGAACACGTTTTGACTGCTGCCAGTGACATTCTTGCAGGCACTGAATAAATACAAAATATTCTTATATTGCAGCTGCATTTAAGTAAGTAAGTAATGTTTATTTATATAGCGCATTTTACAGACCAAGGGCACCTAAAGCGCTTTACAATTTTAAGAGTTTGTGCCAATCATTCCACACACGGTAATGACGGAAGCGACTCCATTCACTCCATTATAACGTCTCCTTTAAAGTCATGACGCAGTTGATAAAAGTCTGGTGTACCGTATTAGTGCAAATATGTTGGGCAGCAGAGGCAGGAACAGGGAGGAGCAGGGGTTTCTGAATATGGGGTCACCATTGAGGGTGTAACCCGTCACGAAACCTCCGGCTTTGGCCTCTTCCAAGTCCACTGGCCTCTGGGCGCGCTTGTACACGCTGGCCAAGACGTACAGGCAGAAATTGAGCTGCAGAAAAAGGGAAAACATCAAGTGAAAAAGTGTCCAAAATAAGAAACAACAAAACCATTATTTGTTGCATTTTACTGAGGAAGCTCTGAGATATTTTTTCCATTCAATATTCATGTGAAAATGGATCCCTAACCCTGTCTTTGTTGCTTTCCTTGATTTATGTATTGTTCCATTGCTAAATTAACCATTTGGAAAAGTAACTTATATTCTCATTTGTTGTATTTAATTTTTGGATGTAACATAATAAAAAAAAAGTAATTTAACTATACACCTACAGTAATTGGGCTAAATATTACTCCTAAGTATTCAGGTCATCAATACCAAGTGTCCAAATATAGGTCAAATAATTCCGTAAATGGGAAGCGGTCCAATCTTAATCTCATGTTCCAACAAAATAAAAAAAAGTTATAAAACAAAAACAAGTAGTTGAGGATAAATGTGTCTTACCCGAGCTCTGTTGCAGCCCAGAGCCTCCGCCTCCTTGTTGTGCTCAGTGATGACCTGGTCTGCTCCAACAAAGGACAGGAACATGGCAGGGTTTGACAACACTCTAAAACAAAGAAGTCATCACCATTACATTGACGTGTAAACGCTGTAATGGTGGTGGTGATGTGGCACATACTGGCCGAGCTCCTCTGAGGTCCAGTCGGTCACCACCGAGGCCATCAGCTCCTCCAGGAAGGCCTGCTGCTTTTCGTAGTCCTTCAGGTGGTTACTGAGCAGCACCACAGCCTCCATCAGAGCACACTTCTCCATGAAGGTGATGGTGGGGTCTGCGGCAAACATCTCCTTCATCTTGCTGTACAACATGTAGGGCTGAGACAAACACAGGCATTATGGAACCTTAACGACAGCTTGAGAATAGGTTAAAGAATGTGATATAATATATGGGTGTTTCATGTTTATTGGAATACGAGACGGCAGAATGTGGGGAAATGCATTCTACTTTTAAGATTCCACATTCAGAGTAATTTGGATAATTTCCCTTAACTATTAGATACTACTAGTATTTGTTTTTAGGGTTAAGGTTAGGGTTTGGGTTATCTAATTATTATTAAAACAATATTTAGATATATAAGATTAAACATGAATTTGCTTTTTCTTTCTTGGAATTTTACATTGTTTTTATATCAACATATTACAAACAGAAGCATGAAACAAAGAACATTATCAAAGTCATTTACCTCTAATTATAATGTGAAAGTATCAAATGGCAGACTCATTACACATGCAGTGAGATATCTTTGCTTGGTATATGTTGATAATTGACTCACAGCTTGTAAAAAACCCAAATAAAACTTTAAAATGTAAATATTTTGAAAATGGACTGTAAGTATGGAAGCCCGTTTCCGCCATGTAAAAAAAAAAAAAAAAGCCTACAGAAAGTCAAAATTTAGACTTTAAAAGTCAAAATTACGACTTTAAAAGTCAAAATTACGAGTTTTCAACTGCGCATGTGCAGTTGAAAACTCGTATGTGTTGTTGTCTGGAACGGTCTCTGGTCATCCCTGTTATAGATCCATGACCATGGGTCATCCTCTACCTGCAGATTATGTGAAGATTTTGCCTACAGACAGTGACCACATCCATGAAGTAGCAGCAATAATGTTGTGGTAGTAATCGCGTTAAAATGCAAACGGTCTCTCCGTTTATGATTAGAATCCGCTTCAGAAGCCTCTATTTAGTTTATCCTAAACGGACTGTGGAAGATTAATAATAAAACACATGTGGCTGTTCAAAGTCATTGAGCATCTAATGGTGACGTCTGGTCAGTATCACGGCTATCGATGGATGCACCAGAAATGCAGTGAATATTATTGTGACTGACAGAGAGACCGTTCGAGATTACTGGACAGTGAGGGAGGTCCGCAGACAGAGGCAGGAGAACCACAGACAGAGGCAGGAGAACCACAGACAGAGGCAGGAGAACCACAGACAGAGGCAGGTGAACCACAGACAGAGGCAGGAGAACCACAGACAGAGGCAGGTAAACCACAGACAGAGGCAGGTAAACCACAGACCGAGGCAGGTGAACCACAGTCACGGGCACTGACATTATTACCCTTTTGGAATTGCGATCAGTGCATTGAAGAGTATGTGACGTGTGTGCGTGCACGCGGGGGTCAGCTGATGGAGCGAGCATGTGGTAAAGTTGTTGGCGTATGAGCAAGAACACAGAGACATACAGGGAATAAGTACCTTGTCTGATTATTTTATTGTGACAAAATAAAGCCCACGACTCTTTTAGCAACAAACCGGAGAAATAACTCCGCAGATAACAGTGAGGGTCTTTGAAAAGGGTTAGAAATAGATAAACCCATTATAGATGCATGAATAAAACCCCGTACTCAACACGTAGAAAGCGCATCCTTTCAGCCGTGGAAATACTCGCTCCGTGTGGACCCCTCTCAGCGCCATCGTCTGGTCAGAGTGGTCTACAGCAGATTGGATTGGAATGTCTCGATGGCTCATTTTCCTTTGATTTATTATAAAAACGTATTGCTCACATTATTTGTTACTATGTCGAAATAAGAAGTCGTTTGATTTAAATGTTGTATATATGTAAATTGAATTTAACATAAATAAATAAAAAGACAGCTCCTCCCTGCCTCCTACGACCGCGGTCTGGGGCTTAAACAGGAAAGTTTTACAGAATCAATCAAACAACATTATTTCTGGCTACTTCAAGGATGCAGTGGTCGCTGTCAGCAATATCTTCACATAATCTGCAGGTGAAGGATGTCCAGAGACCGTTCCAGACAACAACACATACGAGTTTTCAACTGCACATGCGCAGTTGAAAACTCGTAATTTTGACTTTTAAAGTCGAAATTTTGACTTTTAAAGTCGAAATTTTGACTTTTAAAGTCGTAATTTTGACTTTTAAAGTCAAAATTTTGACTTTTAAAAGTCGTAATTTTGAGTTTTAAACTCAAAATTTTGACTTTCGGTTTGCTTTTTTTTTTTTTTACACGGCGGAAACGGGCTTCCATATGTAAGCCATAATCAACAGTATAAAAAACAAAGCATCATATTGATTTAAAGTTGAATAACAAAAACAAATTAACTTGGAATTAAATGTCTTTTTTTGGCATAAGATATATCAAATAAAATTGTATTGAAAATGCCCTACATCTATGAATGTATTGCATCGAGGTACATATCGTATCGAAAAATACCCAGCCTTAAGTGCGATGGAGCAAAACCCAACTCTCCGTCTGCTTTTGACGAGGGAACCATGCTGTACCACTGTTAAGATCTCATTATGCTTAAAACTACACAACACCACATCACCCCGATTCTCCAACAGTTACACCGGCTCCCCAAAAAACAATGGATCAACTTCAAAATCCTCCTCACCACATTCAAAGCGCTCCATAACCTGTCTGACCTCCTCCACATCACCACATCACCACATCCTCTATCCTCTATCCTCCTCCTCTCTCCAGCTCTCTCTCCCCCCTCGAACTCCTCTCTGTCCCCTCTCTCCTCCTTGTCACCATGGGCCGCTCTGCTCCCCAGCTCTGGAACTCACTCCTCCTGGAACTCACTCCTCCTGGAACTCACTCCTCCTGGAACTCACTCCTCCTGGAACTCACTCCTCCTGGAACTCACTCCTCCTGGAACTCACTCCTCCTGGAACTCACTCCTCCTGGAACTCACTCCTCCTGGAACTCACTCCTCCTGGAACTCACTCCTCCTGGAACTCACTCCTCCCGGAACTCACTCCTCCCTGAACTCCTCCCTGAACTCCTCCCTGAACTCCTTTCCCCTGTTCAAATCCAGACTAAAAACTCACCTTTTCAGACTTTCTTTCCCCACATCCTTCACCCCAACACTTTCGTCCAGTTCTGATATTTTCTGTTTTTATTAATGCTAATGTATTTGCTGCACTGTTTTTAACCATGTTTGTACAGTGTCCTTAGGCGTTTTTGAAAGGTGCTTATTACTATTACTACAGTCCTATAGACAAGACGAGGGAGGTGTGGAATGTACCGAGAGAATTCCTGGATAGTCTCTGCAGATCTTGATGATGGAGCAGCAGGCGTGTCGGCGGGCGTTCTTCACAGCTCTGGTCCGGGGCACCTGAGCAGAGGCAGAAAACCAGGAGTTATGAGGAGCCATCAGAGACACGGCAACAGACAAGACAGTCACTCACGCTTTTGTCTGGGGACGTATCGAAGGTCACATAACCAAACAGCTGAAAAGAAGGTAAAATTGGGTTCAGGTTGGTGGGAAATATTTAAAAAGACAGATCCAAATTTAAGTGGAAAAGTAAGCTCACCTTATTGAGGAGTGACGGCAGCAGCTGTGTTTGGTGTTTGATGAAAGGGAACAGGCCTGAGATGTTGGTCAGGACACAGGACAGGATCAGAGGGTCTGTGGTCTCGTAGTTCACCAGAGTCTGAAGCAGCTCCAGGCCCTGTTCTACGGGAAGCCTCTGCACACGACACACAGCACCATCAGGCACTTTAAAAAATACAATAGTACTGCAAACAAAGGCAAATATTCATTTTCCCCCTCTCTACAATCTCTGAGCCCCCTGATCATCTATACAAATTTGGTCGGGCTGGACAAAAAGGCCAAAATAACTAAGTTTTTGTGTGTCTTTATGTAAAGGTATTGTATCGAATGTGCACACCCAGGACACCTGTTTAACGTTATATTAGGGTATCAATGGCGATCTAGAAGAATGTCCAAACTAAGGCCCAGGAGATAATTGCGACCCACTGTGTAATTTTCTGGTGGCCCTCCACTTTGTTAACACAAAAATATCCATCGCAATCATACATATACATTCCAAGTCATTCAGCCAACTTCCTCTCCGCCGATATAGACATGCCATACCTCATTGTAAATCTCAATTCGGTCATTGACTTTGACTATAGCAACATTTATTTATGATCATGTTTAAAGTGTCGACACAGCAGAAGAAAACTATTCTAGCATTCTAGTGGTTGTAATTTTATCATGGTTTATGGCATGTCTATAATTGGCTGCACAATTGTGTTGGAGATCTCTGCTTTGGGCGAGTATGATCCGTGCATTTTCAGACAATGACAGTGATGTTACAAGACTCTGATCGGCTGAGTAAAGGCGCAATTTTATTGATCCCCGTAGGGAAATTCATCCTCTGCATTAGACCCATCCTGATGCTACTAGGGCTTACTCCAGAGTACTCTGCTGGCTGGAGGATTTTACCTATTCAGAATCAGAATCAGAATCATCTTTATTGCCACGTAAGTAACAGGAAGTCAAAGACTTGGAAATTGCTTTGGCTCAGTGCAACAGTCAGAGAGAGAGGTAAGGGTAGTGCATGTTTTTAGTGGTAGGGGAAACCGGAGCACCCGGAGGAAACCTACGCAGGCACGGGAGAACATGTAAACTCCACTCAGAAAGACCCGGTTCTGACTGGGATTCAAACCCAGGACCTTCTTGCTGAGAAGCGGGAGTATTATACACCCTGCCACTGTGCTGCAGTGATTGGTGCATTTAAAAAGTGTATGATCCGCTCCACTCCGAGTCCGGCGATGGACCCGCTGCAGTTCGCGTACAGGCCGGGCATCGGAGTTGAGGACGCCATCATCTCCCTCCTCCATCCCTCGCTGTCCCACCTGGAGAAACCTGGCTCCGCTTTGAGGATTCTGTTCTTCGATTTCTCCAGTGCCTTCAACACCATCCAGCCGAGGCTTCTCAGGGACAAGCTGGAGACAGCTGGAGTGGACTACGACCTGTCCCAGTGGATCCTGGACTACCTCACAGACAGACCCCAGTTTGTGAGAACCAGGGACTTTGTGTCTGAGGTCCTGACCTGCAGGATGGGGGCCCCCCAGGGGACTGTCCTTGCGCCATTCCTCTTCACCCTCTACACTGCGGACTTCAGACACAACACGGACGGTTGTGTTCTACAGAAGTTCTCTGACGACTCTGCCATCATCGGACTCAGCTCCGAGGACGATGACGCAGAGTATAAAGGAGTCATACAGGACTTTGTGGACTGGTGTCAGCGGAACCACCTCCTCATCAACGCGGGGAAGACCAAGGAGATGGTGGTGGATTTCCGCAGACTTCACTCTGCCGCTCCAGCTCCAGTGAACATCCAGGGAAAGGACATTGAGAGAGTGGACTCTTGCAAGTACCTGGGTGTTCATCTGAACCACAAACTGGACTGGACTCATAACACAGACGCCCTCTTCAAGAAGGGCCAGAGCCGGCTCTACCTACTGAGGAGGCTCAGGTCTTTTGGAGTGCAGGGGCCACTCCTGAAGACCTTCTATGACGCTGTGGTGGCATCAGCCATCTTATACAGTGTGGTCTGCTGGAACAGCAGCATCACCGAGAGGGACAGGAAGAAGCTGGACAAGGTCATCAGGAAGTCCAGCTCAGTCCTGGGCTGTTCCCTGCACACAGTGCAGCAGGTGGGGGACAGGAGGGTCCTGAGCAAACTAACATCTATGCTGGACCATGACTGTCACCCCCTGCAGGACACTCTCTCTGCTCTGGAGAGCAGTTTCAGTGACAGACTAATTCACCCTTGCTGTGTGAAGGAGAGGTTCCGTAGGTCTTTCCTTCCTGCTGCTGTCAGACTGTACAATAAGAACTGCTGAGTCTGCAAATGTCATCCATCTGTAAATAAGTAAATACTAAATCATGTGCAATGTGCAATACTGCTCCTTCAGAATGTCACAGAACTATGTCACTTTACTTATCTACTTCTTATCTTGCACTATACGTACAGTATATAACTCTGCACTACTACATACTATATATTTTTTTTTTATTTTATTTTGAAAGACTGGTAGCGAAGCATTTACAGATAGTTAAGTAATACAGCTACCACTTTTTTGTATATTTTGTGTGCATTTTAGTGTCAAAATTTCCACACTTTTGGACGAATAAAGGAACTCTTATCTCTTATCTTATCGTTGCATAATATTACCTCAGGCTCCAAATATTTGAACATTTGAGAGATCATGCTCTCCATAAAGACGGTCTCTGCATCCCATTGGATCGCTGATGGGGACAGGATGGAGCATGTACCCTCGGAGGATGTCGCTATAGAAACAAAAAACATGTTTATTCAATGGAAAGTTTATACAAGTCCTGTATCAGCATTTTATACCTGCTCCTTATGATGCTAACCAGGGGTTTTTGTACCTATGTCTTGCTTCTTCATCACACTAAAGTTGGACATTTCAAACTTCTTTCCTTTTTTGCTAAAGATAGAGATTTAATACAGTTTATTTTATGCTAGAGTTAATAATTTTTTTTGTTTTTCCTGTGCTGTGTGCTCCTCATTCCCACTGTTCTGTAACTTGTGATACAACACTGAAATTCCCCCACTGTGGGACAAATTAAGGATCTCTTAATCTTAATCTATCCTAGTTTATATGACCATCATCATAAATATACCAAAGCAAGTGGTCAGAACTTACTGCTCGCATCTCCAATGTCGATGGGACTCGCGATCAGGAAGTGCAGCCACTCCCCTGCGATCCGGAAAGCTTCGAGAGGAGCGATCCGACAGGCCAGCCTCAGCATGTCGCTCTGCTGGGCTCGGAAAACTAACACGCAAACGCTTGTTAACAATCAAAATAATATGAATAATAATGATTTTAAAAAAGTCTTCATTACTGAGAGAAAATCCGTGAAAATCTTCATCGTTGTCAAAGTCCACGCTGGAGTACAGGCAACTGGGGTGGTCGTTTCTGGATGGATACCCAGTCTAAGTGGAAAAAGTATATTTTTAGGAATATAAATGTATTTATATTGATCAGAAATGGCACAAATCGCTCGCACCTTCACCAAGTTGGTCATACACGTCTTCATATACCTCTTGGCCATCTCCACAACCACGGGCTCTTTGGACAGGACCTCAGACCTGAACAGTCCTCCCCAAGTTGGAAGAGTGGCCATTTTTAAATACTGTTCGACCAAACATAGAAGTATTCAATAAAAACATCACCCATTACGATAAATGATTCTATTAAAAATACACTCACGTGACTGGTGTGCATGGTGAAGGCCATGAGAGCCTCTGTGGTACTTGGAGAGATTTTCTGGAATCGTAATCCCGGATTCAGAGCCCTGCAGAGAAAGAGGTTAGCCATTACCCACAGGCACTTTTTTAAATTTCTTTTTTAAATCTATGATCTTTCATCCAACAATTCCCATAAAAAATTTTCTCATGATGTTTTCTGGTATGTTTTTCATTAACTTACCTCCTTCTCTCTGGTCTCTCGCTCTCATGGTCTCTCTCGGCTCGCTGTCTGTCTCTCTCTCCGCTCTCTCCTCGTCTGGTCTCTCCTCCCTGGTCTCTCTCTCTGCTCTCTCTCACTGGTCTCTCTCTCTCTCTGAGATAAGATATAACCTTATTAGTCTCACAGTGGAGAAATGTTTCAGTGTTCATCGTTGCACATACAGCAAGAGAGAGGACATATAGAGCCACGCAGATTGCACACATCAAATAGTCTATTGGGTTCAGACAATTAAGACAATAAAATTAAGATAAGAATAAAATAAACTTTGGGCTATAAACGCACTTGGTTCAGGAGTATTTACAGATGTATATATTAACTTGTTAGCAGCGAGAATATGAATATAGCAGAATAAGCATCGTTAAATATTCCAGTTAAAGTGACGTGAAAGGTCAAATTATCAGATCTGTAATAAACAGTATACTGATAACTGATAAAGCGTCTATGGACAAAGTTATAGTGAACTATCAGTGACCTGATTAGTGTTCCTGTTGCACAGTTCTCGTTGTACCAGTCTTACCGCAGCTGGTTAAGAAGGACCTGTCAACCTCTCCTTCACACAGCGAGGTGAATTAGTCTGTCACTTGAAGCTGCTCTCCATACAGAGAGAGTGTCCTGCATGGGGCGACAGTCATGGTCCAGCATAAGATGTTAGTTTGATCCCAGGACCCTCCTGTCCCCCACCGCTGGCTACTGTGTCACAGGGAACAGCCCAGAAAGAGCTGACTTCCTGATAACCTGTCCCGCTCTTTCCTGTCCCCCCTGTGATCTGCTGTTTCCAGCATACCACACCGTACAAGAGGCTCCACCACAGATCATGAAGGTCCTTCAGGAGTGGCCCCTGCACTCCAAAAGACCTGAGCCTCCTCAGCAGGTAAGAGGCGGCTCTGGCCCTTCTGAAGAGGGCGTCCTGTGTTATGAAACCAGTCCAGTTTGTGTTCAATGAACACCCAGTATTGGAAGAGTCCACCTCTCTCGATGTCCTTTCCCTGGAGGTACACTGAGCTGGAGCGGCGAGTTAGCGTTGCGGAAAAACCAACCACCATCTCCTTGGTCCTTCCTCACGTTGAGGAGTGAGGTGTTCATCTCCTTAGTCCTTCCCCGTTGATGAGAGGTGGTTCATCTCCTTATCTTCCCCCGAGTTGATGGGAGGTGGTTCATCTCCTGGTCTTCCTCACGATGATGAGGAGTGTTCTCTCCTTGGCCTTCTGTTGATGACAGTGGTTCATCTCCTTGGTCTTCTGTTGATGAGAGGTGTTCATCTCCTTGACTTCTGTGATGAGGAGTGTTTCTTCTCCTTGTCAGCTGTTGATGAGAGGTGGTTTCTTCTCCTTGGTCTTCTGTTGATGAGGAGGTGGTTCATCTCCTTGGGGCTTCTGTTGATGAAGGAGGTGTTTCATCTCCGTGGTTTCGGTTGATGAGAAGGTGGTTCCATCTCCTTGTCTTCTGTTGATGAGGAGTGGTTCATCGCCTTGGTCCTCTGTTGATGAGAGGTGGTTCATCTCCTTGGTCTTCTGTTGATGAGGAGGTGGTTCATCTCCTGGTCTTCCTGTTGATGAGGAGGTGGTTCATCTCTTGGTCCTTTTCTGTTGATGAGGAGGTGGGTTCATCTCCTTGGTCTTCTGTTGATGAGAGGTGGTTCACCTCCTGGGTCCTTCCTGTTGTGAGTGTGGTGGTCATCTCCTGGTCTTTCTCGTCCACAAAAGTCCTGTATAACTCCCTCTGTACACTCTGTCATCGGCCTCGAGCTGATCCGATGATGGCGAGTCGTTGGATGAACTTCTGGAAGACACAACCGACCGTGTTGTGTCTGAAGTCCACCCTGGGGGGCCCCCACAACTGCCAGGTCCAGGACCTCAGACACAAAGTCCCTTGTTTCTCACAAACTGGGGTCTGTCTGTGAGGTATCCAGGATCCACTGGACAGGTCGTAGTCCTCAACGTCAGTCTCCAGCTTGTCTCTCTCCTGTCTCTTCTTTGTCCTCTTCCTCACTTGTCTCTGGTCTCTCTGCTGTCTGGTCTCTCTGTCCGCTCTCTGTCTCCTCTCTTGGTCCCATCTCTGGTCCTCTCGGTCCTCTCCTCTGGTCTCTCTCTCTCTGGTCTCTCTCTGGTCTCTCTCGGGTCCTCTCTCACTGGTCTCCTCTCTGGTCTCTCTCTGGTCCATCTCTGGTCCTCTTCTCTGTCTCCTCTGTCTCCTCTCTGGCTCCCCTGGTTCTCATCCTGTCTCATCCCCTGGTCTCTCTCTGGTAACTACTCTGGTCTCTCTCTGGCCTCTCTCTGGTCATCTCTGGTCTCTCTCTGTCTCTCCCTGGTCTCTCTCTGGTCTCTACCCCTGGTCCTCTTCTGGTATCTCTCTGGTCTCTCTCGGGGCCTCTCTCTAGGTCTCTCTCTGGTATCTCTCTGGTCTCTCCCTGGGTCCCCTCTCTGGTCTCTCCTGATCTCTCTCTGGTATCTCACCTGGCCTCTCTCTTGTCTCTCTCTTGGTATCTCTCTTGTCTCCTTCTCTCCCTGGTCTCTCTGGGTCTCCTTCTCTGTCTCTCTCTGGTCCATCTCTGGTCTCTCTCGGTCTCTCTCTGTCTCATCCTGGTCTCTCCCTGGTCCTCATCTCTGGTCTCTCCCTGGTCTCTCTCTGGTATCCTCTCTGGTCTCTCTCTGGCCTCTCTCTGGTCTCTCTCTGGTATCTCTCTGGTCTCTCCCTGGTCGCTCTCTGGTCTCTCCCTGATCTCTCTCGGTAGCATCTCGGTCTCTCTCTGGTCTCTTCTCTGGTCTCTCTCTGGTCTCTCACTGGTATCTCTCTGGGTATCTCTCTGGTCTCTCCCTGGTCTCTCTCTGGTCTCTCTCTAGTCTCCTCCCGGGCTCTCTCTGTCTCTCTCTGGTCTCGTCTGGTCTCAGTCTGGTCTCTCTGTCGGTCTCCTCTCCTGTTTCTCCCTGGTCCTCTCCTTGGTCCTATCTCTGGTCTCTCCCTGGTCTCTCTCTGGTCTCTCCTGGTCTCTCTCTGGTCTCTTCCCTGGGTCCTCTCTCTTATCTCTCTGGCTCTCCACTGTCTCCTCTCTGGCCTCTCTCTGGTATCACTCTGTCTCTCCCTGGTCTCATCTCTGGTCCTCTCCTGATCTCTCTCTGCGAATCTCGCGGTCTCCTCTGGTCTATCTCTGGTCCTCACTCTGGCTCTCTCAGGTAATCTCTCTGTCTCGTCCGGTCTCTCTCTGGCTCTCTGTCCTCGTCTGGTCCTCTCTCTGGTCTCTCTGGTCTCTCGCTGGTCTCCTCTCTGGTCCTCTCTCTGGTCTCTCCCTGGTCTCGCTCTGGTATCCTCCCTGTCTCTCCCTCGTCTCTCTCTCTCTGGTCTCTCGTCTGGTCTCTCTGTCCCTCTCTCTGGTCTCTCTCTGGTTCTCTCCCTGTCTCATCCCTGGTCTCTCTCTGTCCCTCTCCCTGGTCTCTCTCTGGTCCTCTCTCTGGTCTCTTCCTGGTCTCATCCTCTGGTCCTCTCCCTGGTCTCTCTCTGGTCTCTCTCTGGTCTCTCTCTGGTCTCGCTCCCGTGGGTGCTCTCTCGTGCCCTCTCTCTGGTCTCTCCCTGGTCTCTCTCTGGTCTCTCTCTGGTCCTCTCTCTGGTCTCTCCTGGCTCTCTTCTGGTCTCTCTCTGTCCTCCTCTGGCCTCTCCCTGACCTCATCGCTGGTCTCTCTCTCTGTCTTTTCTCTGGGTCTCTCCCTGGTCCTCTCTCTGGTCTCTCTCTGGTCTCCTCCCTGGTTCTCTCACTGGCTTTCTCTGGTCTCTCCCGGTCCATCTCTCTGTCTCTCTCTGGTCACCTCCCTGTCTCTCCTGGTCTCATCTCTGGTCTCTCCCTGGTCTCCTCTCTGGTCCTCTTCTCTGGTCTCTGTCTGGTCCCTCTCCCCGGTCCTCTCTGGTCTCTCTCTGGCCTCTCTCTGTCTCATCTCGGTTGGTGGAAGGAAGCGGGTTGATGCACGAATGAAGCTCCTTTCTTGTAAAATTAGCAGGCTTGATGAAGGGTGAGGATGACTGATCCTGGTGCGGCAGGACTCTACAGGACTCGAATGGACGGGACTGGACTCAAATGGACCTTGAATGGACTCGAATGGACTGGACGGACTGAACTGGACTTGAATGACTATAATGGACCGGGACTGGACTAGGGTGGACTAGACTGGACTCAGACAAAAGATTCCTTGATACAAAGAAAGCCATGATACAATAACCAGATACCACCACAGAGTTGGAACCAGTCCCCAGACTCAGAGAAGTTCCGCTTATGGTCTCAGAGTTGGAACAGTCTCAGACTCAGAGAAGGTCGCGTCATGGTCTCCAGAGTTGGAACAGTCCAGACTCAGAGAAGTCGCTTCATGGTCTCAGAGTTGAACAGTCCCTCAGACTCAGAGAGTCGCGTCAGGGTCTCAGAGTTGGTACAGTCCTCGACTCAGAGAAGTCGCTTCATGGTCTCAGAGTTTTAAACTGTGTCAGGACTCAGAAAGTCGATCATGTGTCAGAGTTTGAACAGTCCTCAGACCTGAGAAGTCGCTTCAGGTCTCAGAGTGGAACAGTCTCAGACTCAGAGAAGTCGCTTTCATTGTCTTGCAGAGTTGAAGACAGGGTCTCATACTCAGGAGAAGTCCTTCATGTCTCAGAGTTGAACAGACTCAGACTCAGAGA